TAATATAGGGTACGTCTACACTAGCCCCCTAGTTCAAACTAGGGAGGCTAATGAGGGCAACTAAAATTGCTAATGAAGTGCGGGATTTAAATATCCCGCACTTGATTAGCATAATCCCGTCCGGTCGCCATTTTGGAAACTGACTAGCCCGAAGTAACTGTCCGTGTCTACATGCAGCAGAGAAGCGGGATTCCAAGATAAACCCCTTAGTTCGAATTAACTGTTAAACCTCATTCCACGAGGCATAATAGTTAATTCAAACTAAGGGGTTTATCTCGGAATCCCACTTCTCTGCCTTGTGTAGACATGGGCAGTTACTTCGGGCTAGTCAGTTTCCAAAATGGCGACCAGCCGGGAATATGCTAATCAAGCGCGGGATATTTAAATCCCGCGCTTCATTAGCAATTTCGGTCGCCCTCATTTGCCTCCGTACTTTGAACTAGGGGGCTAGTGTAGACGTACCCATACAGAGTTAAATATCACAGAGGACAATATATTGTATAGGTAACAAGAAATAGCAGTGCAAAGATACTGTCTAGGGAATGAATTTTAAGCATTCAGTCCTAAGATCAAAGTCAGATGTTTTCAGATGATATTTGAAATGATATGGTGAGTTAATTAAGTGGAGAACTATGGGGATACTGTTCCAGACATTAAGAACTGCAAAAAAGAAGGCTTTCACACCACCAAGTATTGAGATTATATAGGATTATTCAGGGAACAAAGAAGGTGATAAAATCTGAGATGTCAGCAAGTTCTGGTGTCAGAAAATGTGGAAAAACAGATCTTCTTAAACAGAAAGTGAATATTAAATAATATGGCTGCAACTGAGTAAGATGCTAGAAGTCAACATAGCATTTCATCTACTGTATTGTATTCTATGTGACTTTATTCCTCTTCTCTTTTTGAAGATGCACCTGCCATCAACCCTGGCTAGTCTTTCATAAAAACAAGTGAAACAATGAAGGCATTATTTGTAAGGAAAGATGGAGACATAAAATTTGCCACTAGCAATCCACTAAGCTTTATTTACACTCTTTGAATTCCACACATCCAACTTCCTGTTCAGAATTCCGGGTAGTTGTGTTGCAAATGGCACTTCCTGAATTAAGTTTTCTACAATTGGAATGAGAAGGCATCTAAAACTGATCTAAAATGCACTCTTTCATTACTTTCTTCCTATATATAAGACCTACCTAATATTATCATAAGACAGTTGGATGCTGTGATCTTGAACTTACAAACTCATTCAGGTGTTTATTTTCCCCAGTGGCAGGAAATGTAATTTTACTAGGCTGTTCTGTGGAGACATTTATGAGTTCGTGTTAGGTATGTTACCTATTTCAGTTTTTGGTGGATTCTGAGCAATAGGCAAATTGCTTTGTTTTACGTCAAGTTTATACAGAGATGCCAGCAATACTTCCTTGGATGGTATGATAAGACAATGATTAGTCATTAGTGATTTTTCTTGCAATTTCCCTTGTGTTGGTGCCATCTAGTTCTGGAATTTCTTTAGTTTCAGGGCATGAAACCAATTCATTATCATTTTCCACAACTGGGACTAGCCCAGTGACAATCTGATTTTCTCCTGAAATGTTCAATAAGTTACTCACATGTACTTTGCAAAGTGCATATTTGATCTGAACTACACAGAGGCCTTGGCTACCCTGTAACATTTAAGTGAATTTCCAAGCAAAGTGTGACACAGAAAGCTCTTAGTTTGTGCATACATGTGGCATGTCAGCCTTGCCTACCTACCACCTGTCTCTTCCTGAATAAGAATGAAGCACTGGTTGTTGTTTTTTCTGTGTACATGGCGCCCACACTGTGTATCTGCAGGAGAATGTTGAGTTCTATAAGCAGGGGAACATTTAGTAAGAGCTAGGAGATGGTATTACCTCTGTATACAACATTGAGGTCCAGGATTCAAAAGATATTTGAACAATAGGAAGGAGTTCAGAAAAGAGTTAACACAATGGTTTAGGGTTTGGGAAACTTTCAGTGAGACACTTAAAGCTGCTTAATTTATCAAAGAAAGTTAAGAGGCTACTTTGTCATGATCTATAAAGCTATGTCTAAACTACACCCCTCTGTCGGCAGAGGGATGTAAATTAGACGTATTGAAAGTGCAAATGAAACCAGGATTTAAATATCCTGCGCTTCAGTTGCATAATGATGGCCATCACTTTTTTCAAAATGGGGCTTTTCGAAAAAAACCAGCAGTTTAGACGGGGCATTTTTCAACAGAAATACCCCGTTTCGAAAGATCCTGTTCTCCTCGGATCTGTCAAAAATGCCTCGTCTAACTGCCGGGGTTTTTTCAAAAAGCCCCATTTCGGAAAAAAGTGGCATCCACCATTATGCAAATGAAGCATGGGGTATTTAAATCTCGGCTTTATTTGCACTTTCAAAATGTCTAATTTACATCCCGATGCTGACAGAGGGGTGTAGTTTAGACGTAGCCCAAGAGCCTATGTGGGAAGAAGAGTTCTGCTATTTAAAGGGCTTTTTTACAGTCAGGGTACGTCTACACGTCAACACTATTTTAGGGTACCAGAGTATCTCAAAATAGCTATCCTGTGTCTTCACAGCAAGCCTGTTATTTCGGGCTTGCTATTCTGACATCCCTGTAAACCTCATTCTACAAGGAGTAAGGAATGTTTCGGAATAGCACTTTATTTCGAGCTATGGTACAGTGTAGATGCACACTCAAAGTCAGAACAAAATGTAATGGCTGGAGGAAAAAAGCTAGACAAACAGTCTTGGGAATGAGGAAGAAATTTTCAGTGAGCATAATTAACCTTTGGAACAGTTTACCATGGGATGTGATGGATTCTGTAGCACTTGAAACTTCTAAGTGAAAATCCAGTATTTTTGTAAAAGATACGCTCTAGTGCAACAAAAAATGATGGGCTCAATGCAGAAATCACTGCTATTGTTTAAGTTGTACAGGAGGTCAGACTAGGTGATCAAAGTGGTTCCTTCTGGCCTTAAAATCTATGAAAGTGAACTGCATTCTCTTCTGTCTTAAACATCAACTAGGCTGCTGATTACATTCCAGTATGGGAATCAAAGTGGAGAATGACATATGAGGCAAAAAAGAATCACCTGAATCTCAAAGACCAGGCAGAGTTTAGGGGGGAAATCTTGTAAACTAAAGCACATTCAGTCATGTCACAATGTCATTTTCACAGTGTCATGTCTTTGCAAATAGCTTCAGTAGTCACTACTTACACAGCTCAGTGACTATATGGGTTTTAAATAACTCCAAGCAATAATTTTCAGTAGATATGGAAGGTGGGGTTCCCTCAATACACCATACCATTCCTAAGGTTATCTATTATTGCTACTCCATGAATTATTTCCACTTCCAGAACATGTGTTACACTTTTCTCTTTGATACATACATCCTGCCAATACCTCCTACTCCAGCTATAACATTTTACTTCTCCTGGTCCTACTTTCTTCCCTCCTTGAGTTGTTTTGCTCATGGAACCCATCGGGGAGATTTTTCATTAGAGTGGAATAAGACAACATTCTCACCCAGCTCCTAACATAAGGCACACACATTATATATATCCGGTCCAAGCTTTCTTCTTTCTTGGGAATTTACTTGATTGTGAACTGAAATAAAAACAACCAAACAGAAACCTCAGACTAAGCTTTCTGCTGAGCTGAGCTGTTCATTGGATTTTTCTTTGCCTCAGAGGGAAACTCAAACACTTTGTATTCTGAACTGGACCTAGAAAGATCTTCCTGCTTGTGGGAGCCATCAGAAATAACTCTGTGCTGGGCTCTGGCCGCACTGAATATGAGGATAACTCAGCGCATGAGCCGTGCACTGCCAGGTGGCATCCTAGAACCTGCTGTTATATTATAAATAGAGAGCTGGTTTTGCTAAACTTTACTCTTTACTCAGCTTGTGTTCCTATCTGGTAGATTTCCTCGCTAGTTCCACTGTTATTCTCTTAGCCATCGCCATTGCTAATGCTACTTGGTCAGTAATAGAAGTCAAATCTATTTCTGATAATAAAATCCTTTGTCTGAACTGATTCTGTTTGCCATCCATAGATGAAACCATCTTGAAGTGCCTAGTGTTTTCCAGATTGGGGGTGGGGAGGCAGCTCCATGCTCCTGGAAGAGGCAATGCCTTGAGCGGCAGGGTGGGCAATAATTTTTGCAGGGAGTCACTTCACGAATTGTGAGTAGTGGTCGCGGGTTGGCTCCACACCAGAAAGGGCGGGGCCTTAGGCAGAAGGGGTGAGGCCTTGGGAAAAAGGAATGGATCCCTCAAAGCACACATGCCCCTGGTGGGGGAAGGAGACTTCACATGCTCCCTCTGCCCCCAGGACAATTGAGACCCAGGGGTGGGGGAGTGTGCAAAGTCCCTCACTGTTCAAAACAGCTGATGGCTCTTCTAGGTACCATGGGAGGGGGAGGGTGCTTCCAGTTGCTTTGAATAGCGAATGACTTTGCGCACTTCCCTGCCCCCAGGTCTCGACTGACCCAGGGGGCAGTAGGGCGGCTGTGGGATGGTTCAAATGGCTTGGTGGGCTGGATCCGACCCGCGGGCAGTATCTTGTCCTCCCCTGGTTAGGGGTAACCAGCCCTCCATTCCACCCTGAGTACAATGCACCCTCCTCTCCGCCAGCCCTTTGGTGGTGCCCAGAGCACACCTTGCCAGGCTCCGGTGGCAATTTAAAAGGCCCAAGACTGACTGCTGCCAGTGCTGTAGTAGCAGTGGGGGCGGCTGAGAGCCCTGGACACTTTGAATTTGCCAGGCCCCAGGCCAATTGCCACCTTTGTCTCCTTCCCAGCCCCAGTCAGCTCAAAGGATGCAATTCCTATCCTGCCATGAGGTGACTGACACTGCACAGCCAGTCAGTTTGAGGTTTTCCCAGTAGCAGTTTGGCCTCACCCTGAAGGACAATGTGTCCCTTGTGGGATCTGAATGAATGAGTTCCCCTTTCTCATCTGTCTCTGGTTTTTTTTCCCCCTAGCCTGTCCCATTGGTTCTTTTAAAGCATATGCGGGAGATGCCCCCTGCAAGACCTGCCCTGCCCACAGCCACGCTTCAGTGCCAGGCTCCAGCGAATGTGCCTGCCAAAGCCGATACTACCGCTCTGCTTCGGACACATCTGACTCCCCCTGCACTGGTAAGTGTCCGGGTAGAGTGTGTGTGGGGAGCGAGAGGGATGGCCAATGATTATGGGGTGTGTCTGAGTCATTTCCTCTAACAGACCCTGAGAAAGAAAATAATTCTCTTCATTCTTTCTCTCCCCGCCCACCACTTCTAATCCACTAGAGGATACATTTGCCCACCAAATGTATTTGAAAACATTTCATTAATCCCATAGATTATATACAGTTATCAATATGGTAAATACAAAGAAAACTCTATGTTGAAAGAACATTCATATTGCAAACTCAGGCTCTTGGAAATGACACATCCTTCTTTGAGTGCTTCATTAGGTGTATGTGCTCACCACATGCACAGGTGCCAGACTTTTTTCCCCTAGTAGTATTCATAGGGGAGTGCCTCTGGTGACCACTGGAGTGGTGTTTCCATGGTGAGGTATAAGGGATGCCATGCACTCCTCTCACTCTCAGTTCCTTCTTGCCACCTCTGGTGGTGATGGAATTTTCTGCCTAATGTTTTTTTTTCTCATGTGAAAAGTTCTAGTTTGCTGTTACCCCTTAGCAGTTATTTAGTGTAGCTAGACTTAAAGATTGTTGATCCAGATGGGGACATTTCACCCACGACAACTGGAAGTGTCTCGTGCCCATTAGTGCATGTGGTGTCTGGGAGGACACATTATGAACAAGTATTCCATTTGTAAATCTTTCCAGCCCTGGACCAAATGGGAGAGAGACATTCACCTCTGGACACTTCTCATGGAGTCCACTTTGACTCTGGCATTGGAGCAGCGGTAGGGCTCAGCTGCTCTCGGCGCTACTGGACCAACCCTGCAGCACCCCAGCTGCTCTGCCCCAGGTGTCCCCAAGTCAGCCGCTGCTGATACTGATCAGCGGCTGACTCCAGGAAGCCCGAGGCAGAGCTGCTCTTCCCCGGGCTTCCTGGAGTCAGTCGCTGATCAATTTCAACAGCAGCTGAATCGGGACGCCTGGGACAGAGCAGCTGGGGCGCTGCCGAGTTGGTCCCGTAGCGCTGCAACTCGGCGGTACAGCGGC